CCTTCCCCCTTGACCTAATATAAGATAGATGGAAATAAATAAACCATTCTGACAGCGAATAAAACTGTCAAAATTACCAAAAATATGTTGCCAAATCCATGTTTACAGTGTTTTCACCCCACTTAGCTATGACGTCTCAACCGATCAACTATGACGTCATATAGCCTATGATTGTATTACAAAAAGACAGAGGCAAAGGAAAAATAAAAAAAAAAATATTTAAAAATGTAATCAACAGAAAATCAATGTTTGTAGTTGAATATGGAATTTATTTCACTCGTGAGACAGGATTTTTTGATATTTTCACTCGTGCTTCGCACTCGTGAAAATATCAAAAATCCTGTCCCACTCGTGAAATAAATTCCATATTCAACAACAAAACATTGAATATCATTTTTTTTCTAAGTCTATTCATATACAAAAGGAGACAAGTTTACAAATTTTTAAAACCGTTCTATTTGTCTTGATTCTTGATAAGAAAATTATATGCATACTATTATATATATATATATATATATTATATTTTTTTTATTTTCAGTGGACTAGAAAAAAAATCAAGAAATCGTGAATCATGTCTGAGAAAAAAGACCAAGATATTTTTTCCACAGCAGATTTCACCTAAGTTCATTCAGTGTTGTTACCATAATTAGTATTTAGTCTGAATTTCCATTACTTATGCAACTATATACCTTTTCAACTGCATATGGGTTTGATATCTCTCAGTTGATTCGATACGCAAGAACATGTTCTATGTATGACAATATCTACAAGACGATGTTATTGATATGCAAGTTGATGAAAGAAGAATATCATTAGTCTCGTTTATAGTCATCATTTCGTACATGTAAGTTCCATTGTTAATACGATGACCTTTATAGCAAATACAATATATCGTTAAGTCAAATGCTAAGTGACATTCTTCATACAAGTTGTTAGACCATTATTTATACTCTGAATTATCGCCAGAGTTTTCTTCTATTTTCCGATCATGACATGGAGCACACGGGAGTGTTACGGGAAAGGAGGGGTTGCTCACTCCGCCATAGCACCTGATCTCACCTGTGATGTTTTAGATGACCGTGTTTGCTCTGCTCCTATTTTGTATTTTATATATATGGACGATTAAGCTTCTTATATCAATATATTACATCAAGTACACATGAAGTTTACTTCTAGATTTCTAGAGCATGTCAGACGCGTTTAAATGAAGAAGATATACCGGTATCAACTTACTTGCAGGTTAAAGTAGTAAACATACATTCTTTTTATTATCTTTGGTTATGACACACCAAATTCACAAAAATGAGCTAAACATAGTTTCACAGTCGATAAACTAGGTTTATCGGTTGTAAACTATAGTTTACGGACTGTAAACTATAGTTAACAACGTTAATCTATATTTTACATCCGTAAACCATAGTTAACGCGATAATCTATGTTTCACAACCGTAAACTATACTTAAAACTGAAAACAATCTTTTGCGATTGCAAAACATAGATTATCTGATAAATACAGTTTCACGATTTGTAAACTATAGTTTACAAACCGTTAATTGTAGTTAACGATCTGATAAATATAGTTTCACGATTTGTGAAACTATGATTAACAACTCTTAACTAAACGTGAATCTATATTTATCAACAAAATCTATTGTTAACGCTTAATATTTACATTTCCGATACATTTCCCCTGTGATTCTTTACAAAATAAAATGAAGTATATTTTCTCATGAACTACATTAGGTATGTATCACGAATAAGCATGGATATCTCCATTGTTACGTCACAATACCGCTCAGGCTCTTGACGTCAAAAATATAGTGCACACTGTTTTGTTTTAAAAATGACAGTTGAACGGTAAAGTTATGGCAAGTCATCAGAAATGTAAATATAAGAAATGAATTTAATTTTTTGAAGATTCATGAGGTATATGAACTACAACGCTTGACGCCGGCATATTATCACGAAGCGCTAACGCGCTTCATGAAATATGCCGGCGTGAAGCGTCGTAGTTCATAACCTCATGAATCTTCAAAAAATTAAATTCATTTCTTAATTACAGACAGATAAAAATGTAGATTATCATTCGTAAACTATAGTTGACAACCGTTAAATATAGTTTTACAGATGAAAACTATACTTAACGAATCGTTTACTATACTTAACGAATCTTTAACTAAAGTTTACGGTTTGTAAACTATAGTTTACAGTCGATAAACCTAGTTTATCAAATGTGAAACTAGGTTTATCTCATTTTTGTGAATTTGGCGTGCCATATTTGGTATTCCGCCTTTGGCACTCCATGTACATGTATATACATGTATATTACTATATTGCAGCAAAATAAATTAATAATCACTTAAAAAACATAAATTTGTCTTTTCAAATTTTGTTACCTATATTTTTTACATCTCATCCAGTTCCACCAGCCACATCCAGTGTAGTAAGATGTTGATGTATAATAGGTCTCTGGCACAACCATATGAAAACTAAAAAGGCATGTCCTTCATTGGCTTGCAGTTTTAAAAATTACATTTTTAAAACAATAATCAATCACCTTAAAGTTTAAAAAAAATGTGAAAACCCTTCTATAAATAGAATAGTATATGTAATTAGTACAAGGTATATATGTCATATTAATGTAGGAATTTTACCAAGCAATTAAAGTCGGAAGATATATCTTTCTCCATTCTAAAAGTATTTACTTAGAAATATTTCTTGTAATACAATAATATTGCTTACCCTATGACATAATTAATATTCCATAATGCATATGTAATAGAAAGAAGTACAACAAGCTGTTTCCACGCCATTCTGATCAATGAAAAAAAATTACGTGTACAATATGTTAATTCTTCCTTGTTTGGGTTCAAGAACGTTTTATGCTCCTATCAAAGTCTAACGCTCTGTTAGGTTGGGTTTGATTACACAACCCAAAAAGTGCACTAAAATTAGTTTTTCTAAAGAACATTTGTTCAAATGCAACGCAAAACCCAAACCGAAGCACAATTTGTCCTCGTCCCCATGAAATCAATGAACATTTAAAAATCCAGATTTTTCTTTAAAAAAAAAACACCCAGTTGAATAGACTTGATCAAAAATAACAAATTCAATTCTTCTTAGTTTAAAGTCGCTTAGTCCGATTCTAATCGCGAAAATAATATTTTCGTTTTTCTTCTTGAAAAATAATTGTCCATTAATTGTTTCAACTTTTGTCAAATTATATCCCCAAAGTCCTTTTCTTTTAAAAGATATCAAAATTCAAAAGTTAAAAAATAATTTTTGTTAGGTCACACAAAAAACAAACCTTTGTTGATATCACGTGAAACCAACTTCGAAATATTAAAGTTATCGATTAGACCTATATCTCATGAAGAACAAACCCGAGCAATTTTTTTTCACAACAAAGTACTAGTACCTGTACACGGACGATATTTTAGCCTTCGTTACGAAACTTCCTTTAAAAAATATCTGATTTTCCTTTATTCTTAAATATGCATAATAATATAAAAATTACTATGGACTATATTCAATTAATGTCTTGATTATATTATAACCAATAGAAAAAAAATATTCGGGTTTGAATTATCCTCAAATTTAGATATAACCGATAAGTATATGTTTTCAAAGGTGAATTCACACAACAGATCTTAACTTCCCGTCAGGAACTTTTGTTTATCAATAATGTTTTTGATCTATTTTTTCCATGTAAGGATTGTTGTATCAAACTATTAAATCAATTTCATAATTTATTTTTATATATTATCTATGTAATGACGTACTTTTATTGTGTAAGGTAAAATGTGCCTGTTTCGGATTAAGCGACTTAAGTTCATTCCAAAGTTCATACAATATTTAACGTAGTTAATGTACACTTACTAAACATTTAGTTAAATGTGTGTAATGTAGAATTTACTGCACAGGGTATTTGTATAGTCAGGTAACTTACTGAATACACGGCACTTTGTAGCATCTACAAATTGTCTTTATAATAAAAAAAATTTAAATGCTTCTGCAGACAGTTTTACATTGATGGTATTATTTTTCTTGCGTTGTGACCGAGACTTTATTATTCATCCTATCCGGTATTTGTGAATTTTCAATAAAAGAACTTTATCATTATTTTATCTTTATCATTGTTTCAGAATGTTTCCGGATGAGAACCTCAAATAAAAAAACATAGCTTACAAAAAGAAGCCTCTGTGCATTGGTCCAGTTTTATTGTCACATAAAGCTATCCAAAATGAAGAAATATGTGGACCTGATCTCCAATCAAGTTCTGATCTTTTCTTTCAACTTAAAGAACAATAATGATAAACAAGAAACAAAGCTCTTTTTCCGTGATCAGGAAGTCGTGAATTCGAATCCCAGCCGCGACTGACCTAAGTCGATCAAAAATAGTAGCAACTGAAACAAAACTTTTACATGCCTTGAAAAGCTTGTCTTGAAAAGGTCAAAATTAGACATATTCGGCACTCATGGGCGTTTAGCAATGAGGCAAACGTGACACGAGACCTCGGCTTTTAAGGTATCATCTGTAGGACCTGTGACTATCGCTTCTATTGTATGTCTAATGTTTGACTCGGCACGGCAAACTAGAATCGACCCCGAGTTTTCCGTCCAGGAAGCTCTCTACGCTTTCGTAATTTGGCGACTGAAAGATTTGAAAATATAAATATAAAAAGTATACATTTAGAAGTATTAATCTTTCAAAGATTGTTTAACAGATACATTAACTTCACTGTAAATTATGGTTTCAAGAAGAAATAGGGTCTTGAAAATAAGAGAGAATATCCAAAAAGATATTTCTAGACTATTTCGAAATACCATCCATATGCTCGAAACCTCTAAGCAAGCTAAGGTATACATTTAAACATTTAAAATTCCTTCAAATAGGTGCCCGTTTCATACATGCACGAACAGTGCAGAAGAAATAATCTGTTTAAAAATCTGAAATCAATATTGACAATCTAGACTTTGAGTCTGACAGAGGCCCTAAGATGGGCATCTGGTCAGTTTCCTTTTTTTGCATATTGACCATCTACTTTGCAGCACAAGGGATTGAGTCCAAGTTTTTGAACTTCAAAGCTGGCTATGAATATGTTTATCGTTATGAAGGTCACTCTTCTTTCAAAGACCTAGGAAAATTCATCATTAAAGCTAAGGTAAGTTTTAAATTAATTTATAAAAGATTGTTTCTGTTTGTTGTTTTAAGTCAAATTCGAGATTTTTTTTATTCATAAATAAGCGTCACGGTATGCAAGCCAAGGGCTTCAAATTAAAATATTTTCTTTGCACACAGAGCTATGGAGCAATGAAGATTTTTTTTATCGCCTAATGTGACACGGGCGTCACTTTTTTAGTCTCATCCGAAAGACCGGTGACTTTCCCTTCTGGTGTCGAGCGCTTGGCGAAGGAACTGTCACTTTCTATGTGAAGACTAGGTTGAGAAAGAAGAAATAATGGACAAATGTTAAACAAAATGCAAACGAAAGAACAAATACAGAATGCACTTAGAGGTTGAGGTGCAAATAATTTTCTGAAGATACACAAGATCTATTAGAATTAGTTAGACCTATTTAAAAAAATCTCTCCTTCGTCAATGGTTGACTGTTCACCGTAGCGCAATCGATAGTACGCTTTCTTCGTGATCGGGGGGAGTCAGTTCGAATCGCGGCCTCGACTGGCCTTAGGCAATAAAAAATGGGCAGCAACTGTTCCTTTTCCTTCTTTTCCATGCGCTCGGCATTTTGAAGTGAGAGTTGCGGGTTCTTTGAATGAGACCTTAAAAACTGCGGCCCCGTGTCATGACATGTGTTGGCACAATAAGGCTCCTCGCTGCTCAAGGCCCCTGAGTGCCGAGTAAAGGTCAAACTTTGAAGCCCTTCACTGGTATATGGTGATGTCTCTACATGAGTGAAATATTCTCGAATGGGACGTAAAACAATCAGTCAATCATATTTATACAATTTAGGCCATCATATGCTCTTGGAAAGAAAAAGCAGAATCGTGTTAATTGATTCAACCACAAAAATATTTCATACCTAAATCTGGGCTTGAGTGAGGAAATATAGTTGAAAATTGATTAACCTTACATAAGTCTTGTAGAGCTCGTTTTAAATGTGCAGAGATACATTTATTCAAACATTTTAATTCAAATCAAATCATTCTTAATTATTAATTATGTAGAAATAAGATCAATTGATGTATGTTTTGTGAAAATTATTTTTACAATTACAGTTATCAACCAAAAACTAATAATAGCTTAATATTATAATGTCAAGTTATGAGTGAAAAATTCTCGAGAGGGACGTTAAACAATATACAATCAATCAATATCAACTTTCTTTTGGCATTTCGCACGTAAGTGCACCTCTTTTAGAATGCTTCTGCAGGCTGTTTTATACGATATTGGACTTCCATGAGCAAATTTGGTGTCTTTTTCGTACCACTGAGGCTGTTGATTTAGAGTCAAATGCTGACTGGCGTTTTCCATACTAATTTTAGGCTATTGTTTACACACAGTATTATAGACGATTTTTTCGCTATTTCCCGATCATGACAAGAAGCATACGGCGGGTGTGTTCGATCGGCAGGGGCTGTTAACTCCTCCATGGCACTGATCCCACCTCTGATGTTTTGGGGATCAGTGTTTGCTCTGCTGCAATTTTTTTTTGTTTAATGGACTTTTTAGCTTGAATACTATTCCTAAATCCATATGTTTCATTAAGGTTATATTTTTGTATTTCAAAGGCCCTGTATGTTAATGTTTCTGTAACAGGAAATGAGAAAATGTATGCCATTTGGCTGGACCGGGAATCGAACCCGGGACCCCTGCATCTCTAGTCAGGTGCTCTACCAACTGAGCTATCCAGGCCGATATCCACGGCTCAAACCTTACATTTCTAATACGAGAAGTGATATCTTAAAAGTAAGGAACAGAGAGGTTAAATAATCTGTTAGAGAAAATATTGAAAGTAATTTCGAAATGCAAATTAAAAAGTTTTCATTGAAGTTAGTTTTAAGCTCACGTTTAAACCCACGTGAATCTATATATTATGTCATACCATATGATTTTTCAGATACAGCGAAGTTTTTAAAAACATTTTGTGTGAGCAATAAGCAGGATAGTTACATATACCTTTTTAAGGATAAGCTGGGGTATTAGTTTAATATAGCAAGTATCGCTCTCAGCATAATTTTTTTGATATGTGAAGATAACTTACAGAATTCAAATAAAGAACCGGTAATGAAAATGAATTTTAACCTATTGCATTTCAAATTGTCATTTGAGGTGACATCTGTTTTAGAGATGGGCTGTTTTAGAACAATTAGATTTCATTGTCTGACTGGTGAATTTTAGGGTAATTATTCCTTAAGTATTCAAAATTTTATGATATTGACAAATGAACTTCTAACTGAAATTAACGAAAATGCACTTCTTGAAAATGACAATAAGCATACTTAAAAGTAGTGTGAAATCCACAGTACTTTGTTCATTACGCCAGAGATAGTCATCAGAGCATGTATTAAATGATGGCTGATCTTTTTGTGGATTGAATATTCATAAGTTGTAAGAAAAGAAATTTGTACTTCAGTATTGAATTTTTATAATGAATTAAATCTTGAATTATGAAATAATACCACAATTTGATTTCAGAGATAATTTGTACTAATAACCTTGAGAATCTCCTTGACATTTGTTTATCTGTTTCTCAAATCAGGAGGAGGGCAATACGAAATCACTATACTAGTATTAACATCCTATCCAGTGACTAAGTATTTCCTTCTATTTGCTTTCAGAGAACTACCAAGGGGAACTTGAAGGTTATTTTTTTTTACTTTTGGTATTAAATATACCAGGTGGAGAATAAGTACTCATGATCATCACCCCTTTCAAATATATATATTTTTACTCTTTCGCAGACTTCAAACAAAGCACTAATTTTCGTAGTATTCGCAACTGAACCGCTTAATACATGAACATAACTTTTAATGCAACCGGATCGATAGATCCGAGGCGTATATTGTTTTTGTCTTGTCTGTTTGTCTGTCTGTTGTCAACTTTAACCTTCGCAATAACTGAACCATGAAAGATGGAGGCTTCATATTTAGTATGCATACTCCACTTATGAAGCTCTTTCAAATTACATCAATGTCATTGACCTTGTGACCTTGACTGTTACCTATAAGCTAAAAATAGATTTTTCGATTTAAAAAATAGATAAACCTTCGCTATAACCGTTGAACCATGAAAGATAAAGACTTCATTTTTAATATGTCTACTCCACTAATTAAGTTCTTTCAAATGACACGAAGTTCAATGACCTTGTGACCTTGACTGTGACCTTTATGCTACAAATAGATTTTTTCGAACTTTCGCCATAACTTTTGACCCATACGAGATAGAGACATCAAACTTGGTATGCATACTCCACCAATTAAGTTCGTTCAGCTGACACCAAGGTCAATGACTTTGTGACCTTGACTGTGACCTTTATGCAAAAAATATTTTTTGAAACTTTGTTGCCGCCGGGCGCATAGTGTTTTTACAAACAAATCTTGTTTATCACTATTATGTTCAAACTAGTATGGAGTTGCATATTAAGGGAAAGTATATATCTCCGATATATAATAATGCACATACTATTATGATAAAAACGGCAAATAACCACCATCACATTCCGACACACATACACACCACTACCACTAAAAAAACCAACAACACTGTATATCCTAAAAATTTATATCCAGCACTAAAAAAAAACAACGACACGAACAATAACAATTGTCAAATTTTCGGGACGCCCTGTCCCTTCCTCAGGACAAAGAGAAAAGTTAAAAAGTCATAAGAACAAAGGAAAAAGAGAAACAAAAAAAACAACTAGCACTACTACTAAACACTATATATTTACATACTTAGTTACATGTTGAATTGGAAATTTTTAAGAACACTGTTAAGGCCGGTATACACGGTAAGAATTGTATTATAAGATTTGTATAGATATCGAAAAACTCGTGGTTTTATGGGAAAGGGAAGAGGACTTGTGGAATATATCAAGCTGTAGCTACCACAAGAAAGATGCTAGAAGCAGACCTTATTATTATCATTTTAATTATTTTGACAGAGAGAGAAATATGGCAGGAGAAAACACGTGGGAATAATAGTTTATTTACAATCTTATAAGATATGTATTAGCGTGTGTACAAGAAAGTATTTTGATACAAAAAGTATTATAATACTTGTATTATACTACAAATCGGTGTATACCGGCCTTTAAAGAAAAAAATCCGGACCGCTATGAAATACGTCCGGTCTACCGGGTATTCTCGGGTGAAGTGTGATTTACACAATTGAACGAAATAATTATGCTAATTGATTACGACAATCAGTAAATCGTACATTATATCATTCTCTCAAAATGGCGTAACTATACTTGATAAAGAATAATCGAAGAAAAATGATATAGCAGGGATATTTTAACATATGAATTATGATCTATTTTAAATTTTGAAATGTTTTAGGACTGATTATCGGGAAAAAATAATTAACAAAGGCGTAAGCAATACATAGTTATGTGGGTTGTTCGAGAGTAGGTAACGCAAATTAACTGTAGAGTTTACACTAAATTGAGAGATCAATCTTGTTTAGTATCATCAGGAATTGGTCTAGTTTACGTTCATTCTGGTGAAGTCATTCAGTTTGTTAATACCATTAGGGTGGAATGACTTCAAACTGTGCATCCAGAACTATTCTTTGCTTTTTCTCTGAGCGTCTGTCCACCTTGGGTTATGGTCAATCACCACTACTGTCATGTCCTCCCATTTGTGACCCTCAAGGTTGAAATGTTCACAAACAGATTCATTGAGTTTTTGGTCCTAATGGTCGAACGGTGGTTATTGACTCTCCTGCGGAGATAATAATAATAATAATAATAAATAATAATAACATTTGTATAGCGCCCTATTTAAAATAAATTACTCTAAGGCGTTGAACAGACAGTATTTCAGATATACAAATAGTTAAATACAACACAATAATCATAAAAACTAAAATTATTGTACGAGATCTTTACTTACATATGAGTAAGCTAAAATTATAAGCTGCTAGAGTAAGATTAACTTGAGATCAACTTAAAAATTTCACGCAATACAGATTGCCCAA